CGGCATAGTCCGTTTCGGGAAGGAATCCAGCGGGGCATTTTTTCCGTGCTTCAGCGGTCTGTGCATCGCCCGCCCTTATGCACGCACTTATTTGTCCCATTCGCGTGGCCGCCCAACTCGCGTCCCTGACTCGGGCGGTTCGCGTCATTCAAACAGCCATGCGGAAAACGAGAGAGGACAGTTCGGGCGCCAATAAAACGACAGCCCCATTCAGACCAAACTAAGACCCGATGAAGATGATCTTTATTTTACATAGGGACTTGTTGGTTTAAAAACGTAACAAAAGAGAAAAAATCAGCTCAGGGTTATTCTCTCAAAAGATGGAGTTTTCATTTTAAAAAGGCGAAGCCAAATGTTTCGCACCACTTCCCCGAGCTGGCCCTGAATTCAGCCAGACTTCCTTCGGCACGGACTTCAGCATCGCACAACCTGCCGCCCTTCCCCAGACCAGCGAAAGAGAAAGCTCCTCGCTGTTTTTATTTATTATTTTTAATGGTTGGACTTCAAGCCCACTAGGAGCTCCAGGCAGCAAACATCTCTCTTCCAGTTCTTCCACAACAGCCCTGTGAGGTAGGCCGGGCTGGAGTCCCCCAGGCAACTTTTGTGTTGAGGCTGACCCTGAACCCGGGCCTTCCCGCTTCCGGCTTAATTCTGATTTTTGTGATGACAACCTCCACCACTGATTAAAACGGCCCACTTGCCAATAGCCACCTGCATGGGACCCCCAGCCACGCGCCGTCTTTCCCCTGCTTGAGCCACAGAGGTGCCCGGCGGGTGGAGACCAGAGGCCCATCGAATCCGGCGTGGATGACCCTTTGGGGGTGGCCAGGAGACAGGCAATGTTTGGGGGGAGAGGGGAACGGCTGCCCTGTGGGCAGGGCCGGGTCACCTCCACAGGCAAGGCTGGGTCTGTTTCTTTTCGTGGCTTTCAGTTTGTCTTTCGTGCCAGCACTGCCGTTTTGGCATGTTTCTGCATCAAAAGTGCAGAATCCTGCACGACTGATGCTCAGCGGTGGCACCTCCAGAATTTGGGGGGGGTGTAAGGATGAGCCCGGTACAGAGCAATCCATGGGGGTCTGCACTGCCCCAGAAGTGGAGAAAAACCTCCCGGTTTTCCTGATGGGTTTGGATGAGGACCAGGGAAGAGACATCTTCTCCCCACTAAGGCCGCCCCACTCCTGCCGGGGCGGGGCCCTCTTTGTCCTGGCCTGCTTTGCTCCTCTGCACCTTGAAAAGTCTCAGCACGAGGGACGCCCTCTCCGAATGAAGCTCTGACACGTATCACGGTGTTTACTGACTCCTTTTTACAGCAACAATTTTCTTTTTACAAGTTATGCAAAGCTGCAAAATGCTCCCCGGGGGCCTTTGAGCAAATGTGACGCTTTGTTCTTATTCTTGGGTTAGGGTTTATTTCCTTGTTTAGAACCAGCCCATGTGGAGCTACTCCGTAGTATCCCGGCCTCATGGGCCCCGCCCTAAATCATAATTTGCTTTGCCTGGTTGGTTCAAAGGGTGAGCTCCATCATTGTCCTTTGTAAATAGTTTGTAATGGCTGTGTCTTGGGTGAGAACCCAGCTGACTTGTTGACTTGTTCAACAAACTATAGTTTGTTTGTTTGTTTGTTTGTTTTCAGACTTGTATGCCGCCCATCTCCCCCAACGGGTAACTCTGGGCGGCTCACAATAATAAAAAAGAAGAAAAAACAGGTCTCTCCAAACATGGATACCATCTATAAATAATTTAAAAACCTATATTAAAAATGCCCTAAAAACCTCCTATGATTTTAGCCCTAAAAAACCTGTA